ATGACCAAAGGGATAGTCATGCCACATCATAATGTCATGCTCAGTCATAAACCTGGGCCAGGGGTGGGCAAGTCTCTCCAAAGTAGCTGTTGCTTGGGGACTGGTTGGGCATTGGTCTGCTGGTGGGAGGTGGTAAGTGATTGCCTTTGCTTGGCTTTTTTTACCCCTCATTTCTTTTCCTTCACTTATTTAAACTGTTTTACCATGCAGAAGTTAAGATTTTTTTTTTTTTTTTTTTTTTTTTTTGCTTTTGCTTGTCCCATTCTCCACTCACCCCAGGCTTGAAACTACTAATGAAAGACAATATCAGGCAATAATGAAGATAACATTCTTGTGGGTAAGTGTAAGTTACTAAATGATCTGAGACCGTCGCCCCCCCCCCCCCCCCCCGCCCCCCCCCCCCACCCATGAAGGTCCACACTCCTATACAGGTATGAAGTTATGCAATAAATCCTGAAAAATTACTGGTGAAGTAATATGTGGAGTAAAATTGCGCCTACAAATAAAAACTTGGCTTGAAAAATGTGTTCAGCTTATTTTGCATACTTGGGGTTCTTTTGGAGGAGGAGGTTGTTTTGGGTTTTTTTTTTAAATGAGAGGCATAACAGGTGTCTGGAGCAATGAAAGAAGAGGACAAGTAACAAACAGGAGAAACCTTTATCAGTTTATTTCACTGGGCTGACTTACTGTTTTGGCACCAGCCAGCTACTGGGCTGTGAAATGCTGCAAGAACAGTGTGAACCAATAGGGTTTTCTTCAGGGATCTTCTTGTAAACAGAAAACTGGAAAACAAATTGCCCCAAAACCAGGAATAAACTCTAGCTTACCCAAGAAATAATTGCTTTTTGTGTGTAAAGTAAGCATTTAAAAAATCCATGGTATTCACAGGAACTGACAGGATAAATAATCTTTCATGTTTAGACATAAACTAAGATACTACAGTTGCTAAGGAGTTACTACACAATTTGCTGTCATCTAGCTAAAAAAAAACACTGCCTGAGACCTTCCTCATTAATTGTTTCCCCATTAAGAGCAGATTCAGTCAGCGATTTTAATATGCAAGTTACTTG